CACAGACTTCCCCGAGGTCCCGGGTGGCAGTTTTCTGGTCCACCGGGCTGCTGACCACACAGGTGACCCTGGGGCTGGGCTGGCTCAGGGGCAGGTTCAGAGCCAGGGTCCAGGGGTTGGGGGCTGGTCCTGGGGCCCCTCTCTGCTCCAGCTCCCTGGGGAGGCCCTTGCTCTCCCAGGACACATTCACGGCCCCTGTGGCTCCCGGGGTGTGGCACTCCAGGGTGACGTTGCACCAGTCTCGTGTGAGGGACAGAACCTCGGCCAGGACCTGGGGACGGGGCACGGTTTCTGGGGCAGGAGGGACAAAGGACAGGGTGTCCCGTGAGTGGAGAGCATCACACTCCTGCTTCATCATGAGGAATCTCACTGACACCCTGGCTCCTCCCTGGAGGATGGTGAGTCCATTTTACAGATAAGACAGACCTGACTCAAATATAAAGCAAGTGACGATAAGGAAGGAGCCACTGAGTGAAGTCCTAAGTGATTTCACTAGACTGAGCACAAGTAAACGTCTCCCGGGAGAAAATACGTACTTGACCCCTCTTACCAGAGCCCATTGATTCTAAGACAGTGAGGTGTCCTCTATGAGGCACAGTCTGGGACAGTAGGATCTGTCCTGTTCTGGTCCCTGCCCCCCTCCTCCCACTCCAATGGTGGCCGGGACCTCAAGGCCCGAGGTGCCGAAGGTCACCTGGCCGTTCAAGGCTCCCAGAGAACGGCCCCTGGCTCCAATCGGAGAGGCCGCAGTGGGGGACGCAGTGGGGCCCTGAGGAATGGCCACCCCAAATGGGAGTAGAATGTGCCCTGAACTTGCCATCCACACGGGGGACAAGAGACAACTTGACAATCCTTCTGGGAATCTCAGGGACCAGTGGCTGCAGGAGCCACTCTCCCCGGAGCGGAATGTCTCCCTCCACAGGGGGGTCAGAGACAGAGACAGAGGGAGGTGCTGACTGCGTGTCTGAGGAAGGGCTGCCATGTGAATGTCTCCTGTGTCCCTGGAGACTGACTGCAGAGAAGTCAGAGCTGCACCGGGGAGTCTGGGAGTGGGGGTGGCCTGGGCTGGTGCTGAGAAGGAGGAGGGGACAGGGTGGTCAGGACATCATGTGGGTTGTGTATGAGCCTGGTGACCAGTGTCCCCAAAGATGACCACGTGCTACCCCTCAGAGACTGCAGGTGTCTTAAGGGGACATCAGGCCGCAAAACAACTGACCCTAAACTAGGGAAGGTCTGGATCCCTGGAGGAGGGGTGGGATCACAGGGTCCTCACACATGGACGTAGGAGGAGGGGAGGGGGAGATACAAGACCAGAAGGACCAGCCCACCAGGACCAGCTGTGCAGGTGGAGGAAGGGGCCACCAGCCAAGGACGCGGCCACCACTACAAGGTGGGACAGGAAAGTCGTGGATCCTCAGCCAAAGCCACCAGAAAGGAGCACAGCCCTGCAGACACTTGACCTTCATCACGGTGGCCGTGGGTCTGGCCCTGACCTACACACAGGTGCACACATGATTGGGTCTGTGCTAAGACACCTGTGGGTCCCTCTGTAACATCAGCCAACAACTGACACCGCACCAGTTAAGGACACGTGTCCCGAGAGCACAGTAAGGGTTCCCGCAAACCCCCACCTCCCCACGTGTCCCTTTTCTGTCCTGAAGCACCGAGGGATCCACCCTTGCTGGGAGTCTCAGCCCCGCCTCCACTCGTGCTGAACACGCTGCTTCTGATTTCAGGGGAGAAGCAGAGCCTGAAGTCTGGGGTCTGGAAGGGATCCTGCAAGGGGACCATGGACACTCCCAGGGACCAAAGCAGGGGGTAAGCCTGTCCTGGGGGAGGGGCCACCACGTACCGTAGACACTGAGGTGGAAATACTGGGCATTTTCTATCCCTGTGCTGAAGGAGCATCGAGCCCGGTACCACCCACTGTCCTCGAGGGTCAGCTTGTCAATCCTCAGGGTCGTTTCGTTGAGCACGTGGACCCTCTTCTTGAACTTGTCCTTGGAGGTGACCCATTCTGGAACATCCACCCCAGGAGAGACGTGCAGGAGGGGTATGTAGTTTGACTCGTTTTTAACGCCCCAAGAAATCTTCTCCAGCTTGGCTTCAGGAGGTACTTCTGGACGTCTGGTCACATGAAACACCACAGAACCTCCTAGAGTACCCTTCAGGGAAACTAGGTTTCTGGAATCCTCCACTCCAGATCCGTGGGCCCCAGAGCTCCTGACCGCAGTGCTGAAGGCGTCTAGGGCATTGGAAACAGAAAGTGTGACTATGAGTGTGTTTCATTAAGAACAAGGAGAAAACCGGGGCGCCTGGGTGGCTTAGCCGATTAAGCGTCCAACTTTCGCTTAGGTCATGATCTCGCGGTTCGTGGGTTCGAGCCCCGCATTGGGCTCGGTGCTGACTGCCAGCTCAGAGCCTGGAGCCTATTTCAGAGTCTGTATCTCCCTCTCTCTCTGACCCTCCCCTGCTCACGCTCTCTCTCTCTCTCCTAGAAGTAAAAATAAAAATATTTTTAAAAAGTTGTGCATTAAAATAATAAATACATATTTAAAAAAAAAAAAGAACGAGGAGAAAACCATAGACCCCATCGTGGTAATGAACTCCACCCGGTGGATCCCTGGACTCCGGGGGGCGGGACAGAGCGCGAACCTGGGGCGAGGCTGGAATTGAGTCCTGGTCCTGGTGGGGCGTCCCCTTGAACACGGTCCTCAACTGCCCACCCGAGTGTCCTCACTGTCTGACGCTGAGAGTCTAGACATGATGGCATCACGGATGGAAAACTGAGCACATTTGGGTCAATGCCAAGTGCACAAGTGTAGGAGGAGCTTCCTCCGTGGCTGCAGAGGCCCCACCGCCCACACGCCGTGGGAGCCCTGGCCCTGCAGCGGGGGCCGCGCCCTGTGACTTGCTCTGAGGAGCTGAGCGCCTGCAGTCGGGCTCGGCGAGGCTTTGCTGCAGGAACGCACTCCAGGAGCTCAGGGGCTACGCAGGGGAGATTTAGACTGAGGGGGTCCTGTCACACGAGGTGGCGGCTCCCACCCCCTGGTGGCTGCACCTCTCAGGTCCAAAGAGGGAAGACTGTCAGGGGATCACGCGTGGGGGTGTCTCTCTCCATCCGGAAGCAGTGAGATCGGTGCTCATGGGTTTGGCCACCACTATCACGGGGCCCTGGCTCCCTGCCCGGAACGGGAGAATGTGGGCGAGGAAATGATCCACGGGGAAGCTTCCCCGTTCCTGCCACCGAATCCCTGCTTCCCCAGCAGGTCCCGACACACCCTCAGTGTCCCTCCTCGTCACCTCCCCACAGAGCCGTGACCAGCAGGCAAGGCCCTCAGGGCCGCCCCCTCCAGACCCCAACCTGCCCCTGCAGCAAGCCCAGGGGACATGATACCCTGTGTCTTCGGGGACCAGGTGGACAGGACGGGGACGGGCAAAGAACCACTTTATCCTGAAAGGAAGACCCGTCTGCCCCTGCAGCAGGTCAGGACCGCCTGGGGTGTCCCCTGCCTGCCTGGGCCCCAGACCCCTCTCCAGGTCAGTAAGCTCTCCTCCCGCGGGGTGGCCCCCCCCCCCCGGTGCTTACACCCTTCCTGGCTCCCAAGAAGGAGACAATCCGGTGAAGGGCTCATGCCAGTATCAGTTGTAGAAGATTCCAGATCTGTCTCCGCGGTCATGTCGTCACTAATCACTGATTAGGACAGCAGGCGGCTGCACCCCCTGATGCCGCCTGGCCTGAGACGGCACGTCCCCGTCCCCCATGACAAGATCCAGTCCCTACGGGTCAGCTGCTCCGTCACAGTCCGAGAGGGAAGGGTCCCCAGGACGGCCCTCAAGGCCAGCAGCCTGCGGAGGATTATCCCCACTCGAAGGACGAGAGGCTGCGTTTCGGCCACACTCGCAGCTCTCACTTTGGTGGATGGTGAGCAGACCGTACACGCACACACGGGAGGCGATGGGGATCGACACGCAGTCTGGCCCGGACCTCAGACCCGCTGCACACTCCCCTCCACAGACATGGCTGTTCCATCGTGCGTGTCCCTCCAGGACCTCCTGTGTCTCCTGTGCCCGAACACGCGCCGCACACGCCGTGCCTGCCTTTCCCTGCACGACTCGGGCAGGGGTCCACACTGCGTCTGCACACGTGGACGCGCCTCACTTCCCAGCTGCACCTGGTCCACGTGCGGCTCACGTTCTCTCCATGTGTGATGGGAGCTTGGCTGTGGCTCTTGTCCCTGCAAACACTGTGGTACCGAGCAGCCATGACTGGAGTCTCTGCACACGCGGTGTAGACATGTGACATGTGATGTGTTGATGTGTGCACGTCAGGGTCAGTGTACCTGTACACACGGTACATATACCTCACTGTTGGGGACACACAGCTCACACAGGGTCATATACGCCCTGGTGTATATCCATCACACACAGGTGCACATAAGTCACACATGGGTGTATTCACTGGAAATGACCATTGGTTGTGTCCAATAGAGCAAAGCAGGTACATGCACGTGGGACGGAACTGGTCCAGTGCCCTCCTGAGGGTGACCGTAGCCACCACTCTGCCGACACACAACTGAGGAGGGAACCTTACATCACATTACATGTTAATGGGCGTCTCTCCTGTCATGAACCTGACCATCCTGTCCCATCACTGCTCTGACCTCCTATCCTGTGGCTGTGAGCTGTCTGCATGGGTCCTTTGCTTGTTGTGTTCCCATTAGTTCAGAGGAGCCACACCTATTGTAAGAAAATTAGTCTGTTTTCTTTTTCTTATCTATTTAATTGATTTTTTTTTAAAGTTACATCCAAGTTAGTTAGCATACAGTACGCCAATGATTTCAGTAGATTCCTTAATGCCCCTTACTCATTTAGCCCATTTAGCCCATTCCTCCTTCCCACCACCCCTCCAGGAACCCTCTGTTTGTTCTCCATATTTAAGAGTCTCTTATGTTTTTGTCCACCTCCCTGTTTTTATATTCTTTTGCTTCCCTTCCCTTATGTTCACCTGTTTCATATCTTAGTCTTCATATGAATGAAGTCATATGAATTTTGTCTGTCTGACTAATTTCACTTACCATAATACTCTCCAGTTCCATCCACATAGTTGCAAATGGCAAGATTTCATTCTTTTTGATTGCCAAGTAATACTCCATTGTATATTTGTACAACGTCTTCTTGATCCATTCATCCATGATGGACATTTGGGCTCTTCCCATACTTTGGCTATTGTCGATAGTGCTGCTATAATCATTGGAGTGCATGTGCCCCTTTGAAACAGCACACCTGTATCCCTTGGATAAATGCCTAGTAGGGCAATTGCTGGGTCATAGGGTAGTTCTATTTTTAACTTTTTGAGGAGCCTGCATACTGTTTTCCAGAGTGGCCGCACCAGTTTGTATTCCCACCAGCAGTGCAAAAGATTTCCTCTTTCCACATCGTCTCCAACATCAGCTGTTGCCTGAGTTGTTAATGTTAGCTATCTCACAGGTGTGAGGTGGTATCTCACTGTGGTTTTGTTTTGTATTTCCTGATGACGAGTGATGTTGAGCATCGTTTCATGTGTCAGTTGGCCATCTGGAAGTCTTCTTTGAGAAATGTCTGTTCATGTCTTTAGCCCACTTCTTCACTGGATTATTTGTTTTTTGGGTGCTAAGTTTAATAAATTCTTTATAGACTTTAGATACTAACCCTTTATCTGATATGTCTTTTGCAAAGATGTTCTCCCATTCCATCAGTTGACGTAGTTTTGCTGATTGTTTCCTTTGCTGTGCAGAAGCATTTTACTTTGATGAGGTCCCAGTAGTTCATGTTTGCTCTTGTGTCCCTTGCCTCCAGAGACGTGTTGAATAAGAAGTTGCTGTGTCCAAGGTCAAAGAGGTTCTTGTCTGCTTTCTCCTCAAGGATTGTGATGGCTTCCTGTCTTACATTTAAGGCTCTCATCCATTTTGAGCTTATTTTTGTGTGTGGTGTTAGAAAGTGATCCAAGTTCATTCTTCTGCAAGTAGCTTCCAATTTTCCCAGCACCACTTGTTGAAGAGACTCTATTCCACTGGATATTCTTTCCTGCTTTGTCAAAGATGACTTGGCCATTCGTTTGTGGGTCCATTTCTGGGTTCTCTGTTCTGATCCATTGATCTGAGTATGTTTTTGTGCCACTACCATACTGTCCTGATGATTACAGCTTTGTAATACAGCTTGAAATCCGGGATTGTGAGGCCTCCTGAAATTAGCCTGTTTTCTGACACAAATAATGTAACTCTGCCAAATCGCACGTCAACTCTGTCTATGGACATTTGGCCCTGCTACTATCCTCAGGAAGTTACATGTAACAGCTTTTTTAAAGGCTTATTGCTTTTATATCTTGCAGAAAAAGATCTTCCCCACATCAAAAGTCTGTTCTTCATTCTGTCTGATTTCCTTCAGGAAGGCTTTGGTTTCAGTGTTCGTGTGTGAACCTGACTCGAAGGGACTGTGCTTGGCTCTCGGAGCAGGAGGTCTAGTGCGGCAGGGCGGTCAGGAACCAGGGCCAGAGGGTCCGGGAGGCGGGGTCCACGTCCTCCGTTCTCCGGAGCCCGTGGCCTTGAACAGCCATGTACCCTCCCTGCCTTCTCCTTCCATCTGTGACCTGGAGATAATGACAGCGCTCCCCTGGGACAATGGTGGCTGGGATTTCAGAAGGCAAGCACGTTCCCGTGCGTGTGAGCTGCTCTCACGACTACGATGCTTCTCCTGACCAAGCACCCCTGGGGTCCGACCCCCACTTCCCAGGTCCCAGGATGGAGCCCTGCTCCCCCACCAGATGCCCTCTCGGGGTCTCCTCCTGGGGTCAGGGACGGGCTCCCGGGAGACACACACCCGTGCTGTGACCCCACAGGCGGCCGTGGGAGCCAGAGTCCGGCTGGTGATGGCTGTGCCCACAGCAGCTGGGTTCCATGGCCCTGTCAAGTCCCCCTCAGCAGGTGACTGGGCACATGTGTGCAGCTGGGCGGGGTCCTCGAGACCAGGGGGCCGGCTCCCAGGTATCCCACACTTGGGCTGGGAGCAATTCACACTGTGGGCTCTGCATGGTGTGAGCGATTCCACTTTTTTCTTCAGTGGGTTGCTGGACCTGGAGCCGGCTTCCCTCTGCCCCAGCCCAGTGCTTCCCCTGCAGGGAGCTGCCTGCAGCCCTCCCCTGCCCTGCCCTCCCCTGCCCTGCCCTGCCCTGCTCTGCCCTCCCCTGCCCTGCCCTCCCCTGCCCTGCCCTCCCCTGCCCTGCCCTCCCCCGCCCTGCACAGGGGCTCTCTCTGCAGACCTGCTCTCTGCTCAGTGGGTCCCAGCAGATCTAGGCTCTGAAGCCCCAGCTATTCTTCTGGGAAAGGGCCCAGGTGCCTGTTGGGCTTTGGCAGAGCAGGGACCTGGGGCACCTGCTGGGAGGGAGCGAAGCAGGGAGGGAGGAGGCTCAGCCCTCAGGCTGCAGGGGAGGGTCTGTCTCCCGGGCTGGATGGTGATGGGCGCTCCAGGGCTGGAAGCACCTAGAGGTGGGAGGAAGGAGGTGAGAGCTTTCAGATCAGCAGATGGTGCTAATCCCAGAGAGGAAGGACTGAAGGACAGAAGGACAGACAGCCAGGGGCACAGGTGTCTGTGATCCAGAGAGTCGGGACGTATTTAAGGAAGATAAAATTTTCATTCAATAGTCAACATAAAGTTTTCCATTTCTCTCATGTCTTCTTCCTCGCTTCCTCCTTCTTTCTTCCCTTTTTCTTTCTTTCTTTCCTACATAGTCTTCCAACCCAGATGTTGATGGAGAAAGTCCATGCAATTTCACATATTTCTCCAGCTAATTAAAATGGAAAGAAAACTAGGGCACCTGGGTGGCTCTGTCAGTGAAGTATCCAGTTTCAGCTCAGGGCTTGATCTCACGGTCCAGTGCATGGGTTCCATCCCCATGTCGGGCTCTGTGCTGACAGCTTGGAGCCTGGAGCCTGCTTAGATTTCTGTGTCTCTGTCTCTCTCTCTGCCCCTCCCCTTCTCTCTCAGAAGTAAATCTTGTAAATATTTTAATTGAAAGAGAGAGAAAGCCTACTTTTTATTGTTGAAAAAATTAATCAGTTAAGAGGGATGTCAGTGCCTTATAATGTTTATTTTTAAATAAACTTTTAAATTTATTTATTTATTTATTTTGAGAGGGAGAGAGAGAGAGAGAGGGAGCATGAGTGGGGTAGGGACACAGAGAGAAAGAGAGAGAATTCCAAGCTGGCTCAGCACAGAGCCTGACTCATGGCTCAAACTCATGAACCTGGAGACCATGACCTGAGACCAAATCCATGGTAGGATGGATGCTCAACTGCCTGAGCCACCCAGGGGCCCCACAGAGCTCATTTTCTAATGGGAAATGCCCTGTTTACAGATGTCCTCGGTTCGGAAACTTCCTACAACCCCTGACTCCAGCAAGGCCTGGGCACCCAAGCAAAACATTACAATAAAGAAAAGCTTTCCTAGGATTCCAGAGAATTCTAGCTCTGGAGACCTGTGTTCCCCTTTGTTTTTATTTAATCTGTTACACAAAAACAGACAGGCTCAGGGGAAATAATAACGGGAATGTCTGGGTTTTTTTAGGACAGTCTTTTCTTTCGGTTCCATTTTGGGGACAAGCTACTTCCCTTCCTGTCACCCCATTCACCCGGTCGTGGGGCCTGTCAGAGCCCATGTTCCATCCACACCCTTCCAGCAAGTGGGCGCAGACGCCCTCAAACTCTGGGGGCCTCCGCCGCTTCCTGGGTCAGACAGAATTCAGTGTGTTCCAGGCCCTCCTCTGGCCCCAGGGGCCAGAGCAGGGTCCCCCCGCCCCGACGGGGCCTCTGGGCCGCCCCATCCTCCCCACACGGCTGCAGGGGCTGCAGGGGCTGCTTGACCGTGAGATCAAGCCTCCGACCCAGCTCGGAGCCAAAGGCCCCGCACGTGCCCTACGAAAGAGCTGGTGTTTCAGGTCCTTCCCCACAGACATCAGACCCGCGGGAGCCCCCCTCCCTGCCCCGCACAGCGGCCTCCCGCCCAGGGACCCGGGCCACTCACTGAGGAGGAGGCTGGTGAATCCCAGGAGCCAGGGGGCCCGGCACAGGCGGGGAGCTTCTGGACGGGTTCCTATCACAGGCTGCCACCTTCCAGGCTTGCTCTGGGCCTACTGGGCTGTGGAGAAACATCCAGAAGCAGAGGTGAGAGAGGAGGAAAGGTTTACTCAGAGCNTCCAGGCTTGCTCTGGGCCTACTGGGCTGTGGAGAAACATCCAGAAGCAGAGGTGAGAGAGGAGGAAAGGTTTACTCAGAGCAACTCTTAAGGTTTCTCACCCCAGGGGCGGAGTTGTCTAGGACAAGCTGGCTGCTCTAGAGAAAGCCATTCAGATGCTTCCTCTTTCCTCCCCCTGCACTGGGACTCAGGGAATGAGAGCAGATGAATGTATGCGCCCCGTATGAGCCACTGGGTGGGAGAGGTCCTGTCCCTTCCTGCAGGCACCACTGGCCTGGTGATCTCAGCTCCCCAGCCGGCCCCCAGCGGGACCCCTTCCCTGTGTCCCTCAGCCCAGCAGCCCTGCTCCACAGGGTTCCCCTCAGCCTCTCAGACCCTTGGACCCTGAGGCTGGACCCCAGGGGGGCCAGGGACACGCACTGAAGGTAAGCGGCCTATTGGCTGGTAAATCCACTTTGTGGATGTGGAAGCCCAGCCTCAGGGTTTATACGACCATCAGAGGTCACTCAGCAGGTCAGGAGCAGGGGCTGGACTCCCATCCATGATCCCCGAGAAATCCATCATCCGGCTCCTGTCCTGTCCACAGTGTGGCCTCCAGCGAGCCCCCACATCCACTCTGGGTACCCCGACCTGCTCTGCGCACCTCAGACAGGAGAGCATCAACACTGCCTTCTCCCTTGGATCCCAACCCATAATGAAGATGGTCCTTCAGGAGGCTCAGTCCCCGAGCCTTGTGGGTAGAGACTCCTGGATGGAATCTGCATCTGCGCAGCTCACCACTGGTCACTCTAGCCTGACGGGGAGCAAGTCGGCCATGCCGCTGTCCCCATTCCTACACCCCTGGGGAGCACTCTCAGGGGAGGAGTGTTTGCCTGTGAAAACCAGTGGGGAGTGGAGCCTCGGCCCCAGGACAAAGCCCCCAGTAGCTGCTGGTCAGGGACACCACAGGGGCAGCCACCACATGCTCCACACTGGCACTCCACCAGGGACATTTTCAACCCCAGATATGGATCTCTGTCACCTCCTGCTGTCCTGGGCAGCAAGAGAGCCAATGTCACTGTCCACAGTGTGTCAAGGTTTCTATGGTTCACAGTCATGGTACCTTTGAGAGGCCATTTCACAGATAAGGAAAGTCAGGGCCTCTTTACGGTATTTGTTGAGCCCAGGGTCTGAAAGCAGGGCCAGGCAGGGCCAGGCCCACGTCTCAGGCTCTTAGGTCACAGATCTTTCCAAGCCAAGACCTTCTTGACCTTGAGAAGCCCCACTGGAGGAGGACAGAGGCCAATCAGCCCCAGGGCAGCCTCTCTCCTATCTCACACCCCCAGGCAGAGGAAACAAGCCCTGTGGTTGTAGCTCTGCAGGCTCCGAGGTCCACAGAATCCCTTTGCTGATCACAGCCTACCCCCTGCACTGCTTGCATCACACTGCCTGCCTCACACCCTGCTCACGTTGGGGCTTGCTTCTCCCCCACTCGGCCACTTCCTGTAACTTTCTAACCAGACTAGAAGCAGCTAACATAGATTATGACCCTTAGCCCAAGGACTCAGAACTGTGCCCTGATTCCTCTAAACAGGGGAGGGGAGGGGCCGTGCTTTCGAGAAACATGTCACAGAGGGGGCCAAGGTGCAGGGTGGGCATAGGAACAGGTGCTCAGGATCATGAAGGAAGTTTTCTCTGCCTGGACACATCCTCCTGCTGGTGCGTGGGGCTGGGGGCAGTGATGGTCTGCCCTTCAGACATGGTGACAACCAGAAACAACGTACCAGCAGAGGCATCCTGATGGAGAACAAGAACACAACCGTCTATCTTCACAGAGGGTTTGAGGCTCAGCAGTAGCACCAGCTGGGCTCCAGACAGCTCGCTAACATTCCTCGGACAAGCCACCCACATGTTGAAGCAGGGCGATCATGTGTCCTCTGGATACTCTGTGGCTTCTCCTTTAAGAAGCTAAGACTTAGCTTAATGCTGAGACCTGGCTCTTCCTGGAGCTGCTCTGCCTCCATTATGTATAGAAAAGAGACATGAGTCCTTTTGCTTTAAACTATTCTGTTCTGAATTGCTCTTGGCAGCTTGGAAGGTTTGTATGGTATCTGTGTTGGTGGAAGAGTTTGGTCTTTACTCTGCGTCCCAGGAAGGAGAGAAGATGGGGTCCACCTGTGGAGGTGAGTGTTAACTGCCTAAGTGGTGTGATTCCACAGAATTGATATTTTTCATTGTTTTATTTGACTCCAAAAGTAGCCGAGACCCAACATCCACTCAGGATGATAAACTCACAGTAAACTAAGAACAGAGAAGAATTTCTTCAACTTGATTAAGATTGTCTCCACAAACACCGCAGCTACCATCGTACTTGATGCCCAGTGGCAGAAACACTTCTTCTAAGACCAGGAACCAGGAAGGATGGCTTCTATCACCACCCTTTCTCAGGATTATATGTGAAGTCCTAGCTGACAACATCAGATAAGAAATTCAATAAGAAGTATACTGACTATGGAAGATGAACTAAAACCATTTTGTACACATGTGACATGGTTTTCTACGTACAAATTCCAAAAGAATCCACACAATAAGATACAGAGGACTCTTCACCTGATGAGGGATGATAGCACAATTGCAGGAAAAACAAAGTTCCTACATAACACTCAATTACTCACTTACACACCAGCAACAAACAAATGGATACCAAAATGGGAAACACAGTTCTGTGTACACTGACTACCCAAAAGTGAACCATTTAGGCCTAAATAAAACAAAATATGCAAAGGTCTTTATGAGGAAAACTACAAGACTCTCATAAACAAAATCAGAGAACTCTAAATACATGCAGAGATAGACCATGTTCATGGATAAGAAGGCTCATTATTGTCTACGTATCCATTCTTCCCAACTTGATCAATACATTAGGTCAAACACAATATACAGCCCAGCAAATTAGGCTGGAGATATTGATCATGTGAATCTATAGTTTTCATGGAGAGAAAATGACTCAGAAGAGCCCACACCCTGTTGCAGAAGAGTCAAGGTGGACAACGGACACCACCTCCTACAAGACCTCCTATAAAATTACCATCATCAAGACAGTACAGATTTGGGGAGAGAAGAGCCAAATAGATTATGCAACAGAAGAGAGAGCCCAGAAATAGATCCATTAGATGGGGAACTGCTCTTTGACAAGGAAGCAAAGGCAGTACCATGGACGAAAGACAGGCTCTTCAACAAATGATGCTGGAACAACCAGACATTCACCTGCAGGAAACAAAAAAGAACCAAGACACAGAGCTCACACCCTTCACAGAAAATAAATCCGTGGATCACTGACCTCCACATAAATGAAGAATTGGGAAACTCCTACAGGACAACATAGGAGAATTCTAGATGTTCTTGGGACTCACAAATATGTTTCAGAAAGACACGAAAGGCTGAATTCATGAACGAAAGAAGAGATAAGCAGGAATTCAGTGAAATGAAACACTTCTGCTCTGCAAGGACAATCACAGGAAGGCAAAGACGAACCACAGACTGGGGGAAAAATCCTCAAAAGGCATATCTGATTAAAAAAAAAAAAAAGTGTTAGGGGCGCCTGGGTGGCTTAATCGGTTAGCGTCGACTTTCGATTAGGTCATGATCTTGCGGTTCGTGGGTTCGAGCCCCACATCGGGCTCTATGCTGACTGCCAGCTCAGAGCCTGGAGCCTGTTTCAGTCTGTGACTCCCTCTCTCTCTGACCCTCCCCTGCTCACGCTGTCTCCCTCTCTCTCTCCTAGAAATAAATAAAAACATTAAAAAAAAAAGTGTTAGCCAACATATATAAAAACTCTGGAAACTCACTAAGAAAACAAACAACACAATCAAGAAAGAGGCCCAAGGCACCAACAGACACCTCGCCAAAGAGGATACACAGGTGGGAAAGAAGCACAGGATAGAAGCCCCACATCATATGTCATCAGGGAAAGGCAAACGGAGGCAATTAGACACCCCTGCACCTGTTAGGATGACCACAGTGTGAGCACCGCCTCCCCCAGTGCTGGCGAGGAGGCGCCGCCCCAGAAGCTGTCACTCCTGCTGCGGGTGACACAACATGGTGCCACCACTTTGGACCACGGCCTGGTGGTTTCTTACAAACCTCACCGTGTTCCTACCATACAATCCAGCAACCTCACTCCTGGGTAATTGCCCAAAGGAGTTGAAAACCTTGTTCACAGTAAAACCTAAATCTATATGTTTCTAGCAACTTCCTTCATAATTTCCAAGACCTGGAAGCACCAAGTGGTCCTGCACTCGATGAATAAATAAGTAAACTGGTAAATCCAGAGAAGGGAAAATCACTCAGCACTAAAATGAAATGAGCGATCAGCCCCAAAAAGATGAAGGAAGAGACACCTGGAGGCTCAGTCAATTAACCATCTGACTTCAGCTCAGGTCGTGATCTTTTTTTTTTTTTTTTTAACTTAACAAGATTTCCGAAAGGTTTATTATAGTATTCTTCACATAGGTGAATCAGATGTTACTATATATTATCTAAAGATTTAACTGATATTTAGAAAGTATGCCCCCTTCTTCCCTTTTATAGTATAAAGATCTATAAGACAACATGCCCAACGGTAAGGTTTTGCAAGTCCTATTTATTAATTATATACATTTAATAAGCTCTAGCTTCATTTTAAGTATCTATGATAATTTTCCATCTCTCAGTTATGAACCACCAAGAGCATTTGCTCTCAAAAGAGTATTTGTGTAGAGCCTTTTTCTTTACATAGCTCCATTCCCTTTGAGATATAAATAAATGGGTTGTTCAGATTCAGCTCAGGTCATGATCTTAACAGTTCATGGATTCAAGCCCCGCACTGGGCTGTGTGCTGACAGCTCAGAGCCTGGAGCCCGGTTAATATTCTGTGTCTCCCTCTCTCTCTGTCCCTCCCCCACTCATGCCCTTTTG